GTAGTCTGCAGCTGCCAACCTTTTGACTCATGCGATTGTAGTGAGCTCAAGGCCTGCAGTAGTGAACATGCATGCAACACAAGTGCAAGAAGTGAAGCATGTAGTTTAACAGGAGAGAGAGAGAGAGAGAGAGAGAGAGAGAGAGAGAGAGAGAGAGAGAGAGGGTGAGGGTGAGAGGGTGAGAGGGTGAGAGGGTGAGAGAGGCCGAGGGAACAAAGGGGGGAACGGAAAGGAGAGAGAGAGAGAGAGGAAGAAGGAGAAAAGGGAGAGGCCAATGTCGGCGGAGTGAGCCGGAGGCTCTCATCTCTTATGCTGATCTCAAAGGGTGGTGTGCCCACAGAAACATCGCTGGTGAGGGCCGTTGACATTGTGAAGCATTGTGAGAGCAGTAGTTGGGGTCTTTTCTGGCCACCAGAAGCATGCCCTCTGGCAACCAGCTGAATCCTTGGGGAAATACCCGACGCTTGGATACTATTCTGTTGTCTTTCAAGATTGAAAGAGGTTTGTATTCCCTCCGTTCATTGCAGAAGCTGCACCCTCAGCCCTGCACTGTCCCAGGTGGGCTGGTTGATCCCGACGCACTCGTAGACGAAGCCTCGGCACAAAGGGCTGTCAGCTCAGAGGCGGCCAAGCTTCCAGCTCTTGAGATGAAGTGGCTATGCCCCGGCTGTGGTCCATTCAAGCTTGGGGAGCGGCACACGGCATGCCTGATACTTGTTCTGCCAGTGGAAATCTCTTTCTAGGTTCTTCCAGGGGCATGACGATGTTGCTCATGCAAGGCATGCAGGGTGCGAGGCCAACCGTGAGCTTGGCAGTTCAGCAAGAGAAAAGCCGAAAGACTCTGCAGAGGCCCGCACTGCTTGGTGTGTCGGAGATTTCTGGCCCGACTGGCAGCAGCGCAAAGTGTGAAGCACAAGACACATCACGACATCAAAGGTGTACAGGCCCCTACTTCCAAACAGCCACAATGCACTTGCAAACATTTCTGCAGCCAAGGCACAAACATTGATAGAAACGTTGAAATGCTGTGAGCCACACGGCAGCCAGTCCGAGAGTGCCGACAGCAAAACTCTCTGACCATTGGAGTGGCCAAGAATCAAGGTGTGAGCGTGACTGCAAACACTTCCCCCCAAATTCTGATGGCTGTTTCAAGAGTCAAAGTCAAAGCACTGGCAAAAATCGAGCCCAGGGCCGGGAGGATCTTCGAATCTTCACCCGAGCGTCATAGCCCAGCATCCAGCACGGCATCGACTCCCACGCGAGCCCCTCGCATGAAATGTTGAAACACGGCCAGCATTGCAGGTCTAACAGGCAAATCTAAGCACCTGCACTTGCAGCCACTTGCAGCCACTTGCACTCCGTGACGCAGGCCCAGGCTTTCAGGCCTCGTAGAAGCCGCCCACGTCAGGCTCCAGTGTGCCGTTGGAGGGGTGTGGACCCAGGCCTCCAGGGTCATGGCATTGGATTCTGCGATGTTCCCAGCAAGCGAAACAAATTACATGACAGACACGAAGGGCCTGCCTATGCCAAATCCACTGGACCAAGTTGGCTCAACACGCTCGATGCGAACCTTGCTTGCACGGCCGGAGTTGGGAAAACCGTGACCAGTCTCACACACATCAGGCCTAGTGCAAAATTTGGGAACACCGGCTACCGGGGAACGAGCGTATGAGTCTTCCCACAGAGCGTATGAGTCTTCCCACAAAAACGCAGCTTCAGCAAGGCCAGCCTTTCAACTGAGCAGAAAAGCTGCCCACGGATACTAGGTGTCTCGCCTCGAAAAAGCGGCCATACAATGATTTCCTGGTCCAAACTATGATGTAAGTCTGTGAGGCACAAGAAGCACAAACCCTTCTATATCATCCCGGCGCAGTCCTCAGCCGATGAGAAGCTATGAAACCTTGACCGTAGCGGTTGGGGCAGCTTCAAAAGATTAATGCGCAGGCTACAAGCAACCGGCTTCTTTTACACATGCTTTCTACAATTCAAGCACCTAAGCACGGCTGGAAGCTGATGGCTGAGCAGTGTGCCTCCATATCGGCTGTTTCTCCAGGAGGCACTCTGCTGATCTGGCGACAGCGCCACAGTGCGAGCCTGATCTTCAGAGAGCAAAGACTACATGGCAGGATTCCACACGTGCGGAGTCTTTATTCGGCGCTGTCTGAAACTCCTTGTCCGGGATAATACAAGGACCTTTCGGACGACTCCCAAAAATTTCAAGCGCACTTCTGACTACCACCTCTGTCAACTTCCCCTCCCAGGTTGCAAATGCAGCCTTGCCGCCTTCCAGGTTAGGTCGAACCATAGATTGCCCTGCCTCAGTGGTGCTGAGCATGTGCCCATTTGGAGATCATGGCAGATCTCTAAGCTTGCACTAAGACAAATGCCTTCCTCCCCAACAGACTCACCTGGACCCTTGCCCCTGGCATTGGGTGCCTGGCACATGTGATTCACTGGGTGTGCCCAAGCCCTCCGGCTCCCAAGGCTCAGGGTCCTAGGCACGCTCGCGATGTGGTCCCGCCCATGCCCTTGAAACCTTTTGCCCTTGCTGTTCAGCTGGAGCAGCTGGGCAGCTCCATGTCTTTCCAGATTGTCACCCAAATGTCCAATTCAAATGTCCAAGCACGTAAAACATGAATATCGAACTTCCTTCAGTCATCAAGCTAAGCAAATGGGAAAACTTCATGAGGCTCGTGCGGTGCTGGGTCAGGAGTGGTCAAAAGCTTTGAAGTCAAAAGCCAGCTCTGCAAATAATAACTGCGAACTTCAGCATCGTTACAAGCTTTGCTGAGCCCAATTGCAAAGGCACTATGATTGACTCTGATGTCCCGCTGCACAAGCCGGACTTCGCAAGTTGCAACAACATCAAGAAACGTGTGCTCAAGCCAAGAGTTGCTTTTCGTTTTCCGAAATGTTGCGACATTCAAATATTGCATTCAAAACGGTAGCGAGCAAACAATGGAATACGATGCATGCAGCTACGCCATCTCCCGCCGTTTCATCATTGATGCTATCCACCGATGATTGTCATGACACTGCTGCTGCTGCCACTCCTTCCCAACATATTATGTGATGGGGCTGAGAGCGGCACGTGCCGCGGTTTCAGCTTTGTTCCTGACGGAAAGATGCAAAGCTGGAGAACGACCTTGTTGCTGCATGAACTGCTGCACACTGCATTGGTGTGCTTCATCTGTGCAATCTGTGCGGCCACATTTGATGACATGCGTAAGTTATCGCATGTGTTTGAACATTTTTTGCTGCGTCAACGCTCGAGCGATCCTGGTGGACAAGCGCTCGGACACCATCGTTTGTCTTCAGCAGTTGATTCTCTTAGATTGCAAGCACTTCACTCATCCATTGTTCCAATCACTCCGATCTTGCCTTTTGTTCAAAGCTCCTGCATGGAGATATGATAAGCGCAATGTGCGTGTGCTGTGTACGCGCTCTGTGCGTGTGTGCTGTGCTCTGTGTGCGTGCTGTGTGTGTGTGTGTGTGCGCGCTGCGTGTGTCCATGTCTGTGTCTTTCTGTGGGTGGGTGTCTACCAGGCCTATCACATCCTAATATGGCTTCTGCGTGTCATTTCAAGATTGCTCATGCGGCGGCCGACCGGTTTCGTGGGTCATCCACGCGACTGCAATGTAGAAGCTATGTCACGCACCCATGAACTCTGTCAAGCTTGCTCGCACAGCGTACACAACGCAAGCCTCGGAGGCTGCCGGTGAGCAGAAAATCAGGAATTTGCGGTGGCGGACGCCTGGAGGCCAACAACCGTGGGTTCAAAGACGATATGTTTTGCAATGTGCATGTTGAATTCCGCATGTCGGCGTCTTGAAACCACACTTCCACACGCCTCGGAGAAAGCACCGCAGCACCTCAGAAAGATTACTAACATGCTTTCAGAAGATGCCCGTTCTGCAAATACCAGGGCATGAGGTTGCAGCTGTCAACACGCGATTGCAAGTGCAAAACTAGTATCCAGCAAGACTTCCCCAAAGCTTCCACAAAAAGAGACGTTTTCTCTTTCTAAAGCCCCAAGCAAGCGCAATGCGAATTGATTCATCTCGAAAACTGTCATGATAGTCTATTTCTCAATTTGATCTGAATTTGAGAGCAGGCTGTCGCAGTTTTTGGGATCGTGCTGCCGTGGCACTGGTTTTCGAAGCCTGAGAAATGCAGTGCTCACAAGGCCACAAGGCACCCCAACGCCCATCAATCACCAAACTAGCCCCACTCAACTCTATTGGCTCGATTGACTCAACCTGCACTGGCACTTCTGAACTCTGGGAGTCCAACGCTGGGGTAGTCACTAGGGCTGCTGGAGGGCCTGCTGGAGGAAGTGACCTGACACGCTGAGCGGCGATGGGCGATGCCCTCTGCGCTTGCGAACGCCTGGCTGCCGGTCTCTTTGGAAGGTGGCGGGCCTCGCGGAGCAACGTAGGGCATACGCATCGACATGCCTCTTAGTGTCTTGGTGGTAGACATGTAGTGCTGAAAGTGCATGAAAAGCAAGTGAAAGTCCATGCTTGCCAATGCATTCAAATGTGAGCCCTTAACCTGAACTGTCACACTCACACAACAAAGGTACAATTACATTGCCCCTTCTCCTTTAAACAATCTACTGTATCTATCTTCACAGGACCGTGCGTCTGACTGGGCGCCCGCACGCAACTGCTGCATGGCCCGCCAAAAAATGCAATTCAAGTAAGCTTGCTGTGTTAGTTGAGCTGGGTGTCATTGCTGCAGAATCAAAAGAAAGAATTGTCAAGGGACACATTGCAATGTCCAGCCTTTCCTCTCAACTACAGAAAAGTGCTGCACAAGCGCATGGCACCCCAAGCGCAGACTGAAAAATCAACAGCAGTTCCTCCATAGCCTCTTGACTCTCAATGCATGGCACATTCTTCTTCGGTGCATTCTACCCGGCTCTCAAGCACTGGCTTTGGTGGTTTGCACGATGGGCCGGTTCAACCGCCGTGTTCAATGATGGATGTCCTGCGGACCAACACAATGCAATCCCATCTCGAAACCATCCGCTCAGCCGGATTCCATCTTGAAATATATACCAAGTATGTACTGCTGAAATCCTAGCTGTTTCAAGGACTCCAGTGATGGATTCTGACCAAGGGTCGAAACTATGCACAGGCCTTCTAAAGAGCATGCTTGAGACCATGAACAGCCACTGTAGGCTTCTTAAAGGGACTCGCGGCTTTCCGCGGCTCGCTGCTCATCGTCTGTCCCTGAGCCAACACAACACGTGAGGATGCTCTCTCTCTCTTTCTCTCTCTTAGACGATCGCTGTCACCTTGGGAGAACAAAGCTTCAAGAAATGTCATAGCGTTCGCTCGCCCCTTCAACAATATGAGGTTTGGCCAAAGCCTGGCACGTTTGAGCGAACAATTCATCATGACAGTAACGCTCAACTGCCTGGCTGAGGACGCTGCAAATCAATTTGGAGGCATCTTTGGCCCCCCGTTAAAGCTGGTAGCTCCCACCTCGCAGCACCGTGCACAGTTACATGAAGCATTCTGGTCCACCAAGCAAAAAGTAAAGCCATTGGCATACTTGCGGCGCGGAACTAAGCCTAGCAAATGAAGATGTATTGCCAAGACTTCCAAGTGGATCTAACAATCGATCGCAGTGATCGACCCTGGGCCTAGGCAAGCACCCAGCAGCCGAGCCGTTTGGCGGCATCGCTGGGCGTCGTCCTCCAGGCGCACGGCGCAAGAGTGAAGCTGCAGCCAGAGCACCTGAAGCGCAATCATAAGCAAAAACAATGCCGGAGCCGCACGCCAGTCTCTGTCGCACCTTCTCGCCAACCTCGACTTCTACAATGTCATCCAACGGCACCTTTGTGAGCTTTCCTCGGAGAAGCCCAGCACGCTCCGAGCACAGAGCCGAACCGGTCATGGTGCTGAGGGAAATAAAGTGAGAGTTGCAGAGAGAGTGAAAAAGAGAGAGAGAGAGAGAGAGAAAGAAAGAAAGAAAGAAAGAAAGAAAGAAAGAAAGAAAGAAAGAATGAAAGAATGAAAGAAGGATGGAAAGAAAGAAAGAAAGAAAGAAAGAAAGGAAGGAAGGAAAGAAAAGAAAAAAGAAAGCAAGCAAGAAAGAAAAAAGCAAGAAAGGAAGAAACAAACAAAGAAAGAAAAAACGAAAGAAAGGAAGGAAGAAAGGAAGGAAGGAAGGAAAGGAAAGGAAAGGCAGGAAGGAAAAGAAAGGAAGGAAAGGAAGGAAATGAAAGAAAGGAAAGGCAGGAAGGAAAAGAAAGGAAGGAAAGGAAGGAAAGGAAGGAAAGGAAAGAAAGGAAAGAAGGAAAGAAAGGAAACAAACGAAAGAACTACGGAAAGAAAGGAAAGAACGGAAATAAAGGAAAGACAGGAAAGAATTGAAAAAAAGGAAAGAAAGGAAAATGAAGAGAAGGGAATACACTTCAAGAAAAGAAAGAAAGCAAGAAAGAAATATTGTTTGCAGGAGAGAGAGAGAGAAAGAGAAAGAGACAGTGACTACGTACAATTGAAGCTGAGGCACCGTTCCTCAGGTGCAGGAAAAAGATGTCAGATGCCACTGCAAGGACTTTTCCCTCATCATCCCTGCGAGCCAAAATGAGGGCATTCCAAAGCCCACGACCCCATAACACAAATAGAAGGCGTCCATTGCCATGTCCCAGCCTCACACATTCCAGCAGGGCCATGGAAGCCAAGCTGGGGTCCAAAGACACCAAGTATGCCTGCGATGCTTTGAAAGGACGCTTTTCCTTGTGCTGTTAGGTTCTTTGATGTGTGCTCCATGCATTGACTGCTGCCCAACGTGTTTCCTCCACTTTGCTCCTCATGCGTTGCGCCTTGAGCTCGGCATCCAGCAGCTCAAAGGGTCGCAGGGAGCGCTCAGGACCATATAGGAGCCGGGGCAGCCGGCGGCGCCCCTCCTCCCTCCGGCCCTGCTGTGCCACGTTGCCTTGGGCGCTCAGATTGGACCGGCTATCGCCAACTATCGCCTTGTTTCAACTTGTTGCCACTTGTTGCCACTTTTTGCAACTTGTTGCAACTTGTTGGGCAATTGCAATCACGGCGCGGAAGCTTTCCGCTGCCACCCGCGTCATGTCCAGGCAGCCCACCATGGAGCCGCCCACGCAGCCCACAGCCCCTGAGGTGAGCAACAGAGCAGCTCGGAAAGGGCCGCACAAGTCCTGCGTCCGCTACCTGGGTATACCTGTCGTGCGCGCCTTGTCCGGTGCCGCGAACGCAGCCTCGAAGCCCCGCAGTTTGGAACCCCCTCGCCGGGAGGACGAAGAGGCCCTCGAGGCCTTGCCGAAGGCCACCTGGACATGGCACTGCACTGCCAAGTTATCGAGCTAGGACTACTAGGACTACTAGGACCTACATCGCTCATCGGTTGGGTGGAGATATGGACATTGAGACTCTGGAGGGAAGGGAGAGAGCCCCAAAAGCGCCAAGTGCCCCTTTCAGACCTGCAACTGCTGGTCAGATTGAGTTGCAAAAATGTCTCAGGCATCCCAGCCAAAGCAGCTGCCACAGGCCACTGTCAGCCCTTCCCCCACTCGGCGGTCTTTGCTCGTCGGTGCTGGCCGACGCTTTTGGAAATCCTGGCGCGGTGCCTGTTAACAACACCTTGTCTCAAGCCAGTCAAAATATGAAGCGAGTCAGAGATAGCGACAAATAATTGCGCCTTGCAATCAATGTCAGTTGACGCGAATCTAACAGTGTCCTCGTGGAGGCAAATACGGCATCCCTGAGAGGCAGCTCCTGTGGCCTGGCGTTTGCAAACACCAATCCTCTATGCAGCTGTCCATGAAGCATGAAGAATTCGATTAACCGATGAGCAAGGCGGGGCAGCATTGCTCTTGGCTCTTGCCTTGGAGAGAGAGTTGAAGCACTCGAAGAATGCATTCCGCACACATCCATTCGTGCCCACGATGCACCCCTCCACCATGTCCTGAGGAACATTCTAGGGGCGGATGCTTTGCGGGTGCTGCACAAGGAGGCTGCGAGCCGAGGGATCCGGAAGCACCTCATACAGTTCCGCTAGAAAACAACAAGTTGCTTGACCTGTCGAAGATCCACTCAAACATCCACAAAACCAATGCTTGGGAAAGAAAACTGGTTCAGCATTGTCGAAGTTTACAAAGCCATTCTTGCCAAAGGTTGCTAGATACCCTGACTCGAGGCTCCTACAGCCAAACAGCAGCATCCCAACAGCTCTGCAGGTCCATTCAAATCCCTCTCCTCTGGAGACGTGCGGGCACCCCTGTACGGGGCCAGGACTCCCTCCTGCATGGAGGAAGAGGCATCTGAAGGGTTTGTCCGAATTTGGCATCCAAACCAGTTGGCGCAGCAGCGATCGATTCCCCGGACTCCTTGCAGCTCCGTGCCACAGAGCCGCAGAAAGTGGCGGGAGTGCCCAGGACTTCCAGGCCCCCCACGAACCACTTCAGCTCCTCGGACTTGCGACGCTCGCGGAGTCTCAAGCCGCAAGCCGCGGTTTTTGAGGGTCAATGGTCAACATAAAAGAGAAGAAAGGCAATGCGCTTGCCGAGGGGGTGGCTTTCTCCATACACAACTCCAGCTTTGCATTAATTTGCCAATCCAAAGCTCCCGCATGAACTGCTTGTAGTAGTGACCTGCTGAGTCGCTGTACACGGCGGAAAAGTTGCAAGCAACATTCAGTGTCTTCCACAGCATGTGCTTTCATGTATGCTTACATTGTGGTGCAAGGCAAATGTTGAAATCAATACATCACCGAGGCAATCTATGGATTTGCGAATCCAGCAATAGAAATTCGCCTCGACCCCCAGGCCAGACCCTTCAGAACCTCTTCGGGATCTTCCAACCCCCATCCCTCCAACCCCGTCCCCCCCCCGACCCCATGTCGCGTGGCAAAAAAAAGCAGTCGGCCCCCAGAACCGGGAGGTCAGATTTTCTTCGAAGGGATCCCCCACCCACTCAAGTTTTCCAGAAACCGGTCTCAACTCCGGTCAAATCCCTCTCCAGACCGATCAAATTCCCCCGGTCAAACTCCCCTCTAGAAGGTGATCAAATATCCTCTAAAAACCGTAGAAACCGATCAAACCCCCCTGTAGAAACCAATAGAAACCGGTCAACTTCCCATCTAGAAACCAGTCAAATCTCTGTAAAGACTGGTCCAACTCCGGTCAAATCCTGCAAGAAACCGGTCAAATTCCCCCTCGCAAAGCTGGTGGGTCAAATTCCCCTTCAACCAATCAAACTGGTCAGTCAAATCCCCTCTAAAAACATGTCCAACTCCGTTCAACATCCCCAAAAAAACCTGCAAAAATCCCCCAGAAACCAGTCAAAATCCCTAGGACCTTGCACCTTCTGGCCCGCCATTCTGTACCTCGCTGCGGTTCTGGCCGAGGCGGGCAACGCGAAGCCTTTGCAATTACCTCTGGTGCGAAGTCGTGCTTCAGCTAGCAAGTCACAAATATCAAGAGCCAGGTGCACATCATTATTGCTCGGACCAGCTCTTCAGCCACAATGGAAGGATATTCTGCCGCACCAGTCAAAAAATGAAAGTCATGTTCGAGGGTCAACTGCGCAAATGCGTCGAAACCACGCCTCGCAGCGTAGTGATGAAATTCTCGGCATCAGCCGTGGTCTCCTGCAGCGTATAGCCATCGAAGCCTTGGTACTGAAGAGCGCAATGCACTTGACTCCCTCACTCAACGCGCGAACACACACACACACACACAGTTACATACATGATCACAAGCTATTTGCAGCTCATTGGCGACGTATTGTTGTTCTCTTCCAAAGCGCAAGGCCAGCGTACAACAATCATGAAGCTGTACTTTTCAGGGTCTTGTTCTCGCAACGTTTCATTGCCAGTCGCGACAAAGAGCGAACAGAATTAGTAATACAGGCTGCCAAAACGAGAGTGATATCCTGTCATTGCGGATGAACATTCATAAGTTAAGGTACAAAGGGCCAAGGGCTACAAGCTTTCTGAAAGTCTGTGCAGACTGTCCAAAAAAATATCATGCAAAATCTTCCGGAATGAATCCACCCTTTACTGGGCTCAATGTCCACAATGTATGTTTTGTGCTCTGCGAGGTTTGCATGCCATGAATCTACAAATGTTGCCATGAATGTACAATTCTTGCTTTGTGGCGCGAGATGGCCAAGCGACGCAAAATGGCCCGGTCAACCGAGGACAGGCTGGAAAGCAGCCGCTTCCAGAACGCCACCTCAGCTTGTTCTGGCAAGTATCTGGCAAGTATGTAAATCTCTGAGCGCCCTCACATCTGTGACATCCGCGAAGCATTTTCAGTATCCAAATCCTGTTCACATAACCTCGCTCTAACGTCGTGAGCTCTGAGCATCCTGACGTCACCCGGCATGCTGCCAGACCAGCGGCTGCCCGCAAAGGACACACAAACTGTGGCCTGGACAAATCTCGAACTCAGCTCAGTGGAACTGTTGGAAGGCTTAAAGCAGCAAAGCTTGGCACAGTCCAGCCTTGGCCAAGTTTAAATGATTGAAGTGGAGCTTCCTGCCTTCCTGGAGTGAAAGAAACCGGCACGCTGAATCCGTCGACAATCGAGAAACAACGCGGCGCACCTTTTCCACACCAGGGCCAAGATCCATATCAGATGCTGTGGCAGAGACGCCCAAGCCTCAAACCGGCCGACAGTACCGGAGGCACCAAAAAAGCTCACGAATTGATTCTCTGACCAAAGCTGGCTTCCCGTCTGGTAGGGTCTTACAGCAGAGTTCGTGAGCTCTCCCAATGTCCCAATGCCCTATGAGGTCACCACTTGTTCGCACGCTCTGCACCAGCGCCATCATGTCAAGGATGAAGCCTCCAGCACAAGAATGTCAGGAAAGGGGGCACTTCAAATACCTCAACCACTTCAGACGTTGCCAATCTTCGCCGTGCCTTGATCTAGCCTCAGGTCGATGCTCCTTGCATATGGCGGCTGTCAACCCCATGGATGGCACATCCGAACCAATAGACCACAATAGACCACAAAAGTGGACGAAACACTCAAACTGTCTCAACATGTCTCAACCCTGCCTGAGGGCCAGCTCCAGCCTGTCGAAGTGCAGGTCACAACGGCTCACCAGCAGCTTCAACAGCCTAGGCTCCGTGCACTCAAAGGGTGAAAGGTCACTCGTACTGCCGGTGCACTCAATTTGAATCCCGTCGATCTGCAAGCTGCCCGAAGCAAACAATCGATACATATATATATATATATACATGTATGTATACAATATGTTTATGACATGTGTCTTATATATATATATATATAGTGAATAAATCTTGTGGCATGCGTTGCTTATCCAATTTGCCAGGCAGCGGCTCGGCATCGTCCTGCAAAGCAGCTGAAACAAAATATGGCAATCAAATGCAAACACGTGATGTCTGAGAAATATGGCAGCCCAAATCAGGTAGCCCAAGCAGTGCTCCATATTTCTGCTGTGACGAAACTGAGGGCTGCCTTGCCCTCGCCCTTGCGCTTCAGCAGCACAGGGTGCCGCGCATCCTCTCGTTGATTGTCCACCTGCACCTGCCGGGTGAGCATAGATTTCGCGTCTTGCGACATGCGTCCATGTTTAGTGATTGTCGGATCGCGTTATTTCCTCCCCTCAGGGTCCCTTCCCTTCAGCCCGCACCCTTGCCGCATCGCCTCTTGCACGCGCAACTCCAGGGACTGGTTGGACTCGCGGCGCCGAAAAGTGCCCTGGAGCCGATCCGCGGAGAGGAAGAGCAGCTCCCGCCGCAGCTCCTTCGAAGCTGACTCTTGAGGCACACATTGCAGACCATGGCGGACTCAGTCCCTCTCTGTCTCAAGGCCGGACATGCTGCCGAGGCGCATCGCCATCGTCCTACAAGGCTATATGGGGACAGTACCAGTACTGAGCTGTGCATTCGACCTTGAAACCTCAAACCGTTGCTGAACCTTTGCATTCGCCCAACGCCTTTGACCCTTGACTTCAGCTCACCATCCTGCGCTTCTGGAAAGGCACCTGACATTGGGGCACAGAGTCCGCAACCAACTCTGCAGGTTGCCCCAACTCAGCATCCTCCGCGACCAGCTCCCATCCCCTCAAACGCAGAGTCCGGCACGAGAGGTCGGTGCCACCAGCGACAAGCCAAGGCCCGTAAGGTTGACGTTGACCTGGCAGTTTGGAAATGAGATAACGACAGTGCTATTGGCCGCAGGTTGTTTCCATCTCAAGTGCTGAGCCTGCAATTCGCGGCCCTCCGAGAGCTCGGGCTCTTGCCTGGCGAACTCCGATCGCTACCCCGCAATTCGGGCCTCGCACAAAGCGCCTAGGTTTGTCACGCACGGTGAGCAGCAAGCTGGGGCCGGTTGCCACAACGTCATAAAAGAGCCTGGGCTGAGGAAAAGGCCGGATATGAACTAAGATCCATCTCAGGTGCGATTTCAACAAGCGAAGCTCCGCAAAGTGCTTTCTGAATGTGCTGGTTGTGGCTGCGGGTCGTTGGCAGCGACCCTCTTTCAGCAGTTCCATCTCTTACCTGCTGCCAAGCAGCGGCTGCTGTGAGGCCAGAGCCAGTGGAAGGGACTTCTCCGTTTTCCTGGGCAAGGCAAGGGGCCTTTCTACCATCCAACCCAGTCCAGCTGAAGTCCACTCGATTTGCTGTTTGTTGGCCAAGCATGCCAAGCAAGAACAGGAGGCTTGCAAGGGAGGGCGACTTCAATGCAGTGCACAATCCATCTAAATTTGTTTTGTCTTTGACAACCACCGGCTGCGCATGGCCAAACAAGTGCCCCATGAGTTGCAAGAGCGAGGGCTCTGCACCCCCACAAACCGATCTGGTTGTGGTTTGCCCCATCTGCATTGGCCCCGAAGGAAAAAGAAAAGCTACACCTACTTGTGTTGCATCAATATCTTGCCCCCTTCCCACGTTCCTATCAGATGTCCACAATCTTGAAGGCTCTGACACATACCACCTGCCCTTGAGAGTGTTTTTCTGGATCCGAGCCATCCGAGCCATCTGAGTTCGACGTGACGTTCGCGAGTTCCGTCAGTGCGTCAGACGTTCTGTGCATCCGGAGGTCTCCAGCGCCAGGCGCACCACCAGGCGCCGCTCCAGGCAGGTCCGCAGCTCCAGGCGCCGCGGCAGAACGGGCTCCGGCCAGGCCTAAACGAACGGCCCAAAGAAAAGAAGAAAAAAAACACGACTCGAGAAAAACACCTTCAAATCGGGGGCGAAAAAAACGGGGAACGTCAGTGAACGATGGAGCGGAAAGTGAATGAAAGAACAACTCTTCGGGAACATCTGGAAAGGCTCGAAATGGCAAGCACAAAGTGTGGAGCAACCTCTTTCGCCTCTTTCTCTCTGCCCTGCCGAAGATCTCAATTGGGCAGCATGCGTTCAGCTGATCTAATGGCTGATAGTCCTGAGAAGCCGTACAAAGGGCAGGGACTCGCCCGGCTCGAGCCGCAGTGCGGGACTGACCTTTGGTGCCGAGATCAAAAAATGAGTTTGGCACCGAAACTTGAACTTGGCGCGAGGCAGCTGTTTCAGGAGGCGTGTGGCCTGGCTGTGTCAGTGCTCTCCAGAGCTGTACCAAGGATTGCTGTCACAGCACAACTCGGCTCAGTGCTGGGTGCAGGGCTTGTGAAACTCTCCAGCGAGAACCACCGCACGGGGTGTGACATGATGCTTTCTTGCCTTCAGGGACAAATTAGCTTCATTCACTGCCATTACTGACCATTGTGTTGTCCACGCTTTACATCCAAAGTTGGCTTGAGTCAACAAGTACCAGTGGCAATTTCTTGAAGCAAGGTAAACGCACAATAAACATATTTTTCTGCCAGGCAACGATCGCCGATCAACAGCATCGTCGCGCTGGTCCTGATTCACTTAGCAGAAGCAAGCCGCGCAAGGGGCCGAAATGAACACACATGAGGGCCGGCACGAGCCGCTCTCTGCAAGGCCAAGCATGGCTTTGGGCAGCTGCTTGGTGCGTTTCTCCTTTTTCTTAAGGCGCTGATGTTGGCCTAAAATGTTAGAAAACATGTGTGTTTCAATTACGTCAGCTGAGTGAAACCACCCCAAAATATTGGCGTAACAAAACTCTGAAAAGCGTTCAAGCACTTAGTACAATGTGCCAAACGTACCGTTAAAAAAGCTCAGTGCAAAGCAGCGCCACTTGCTTGATTCGCTTGGATCTTGAGCACGTACGCAAAGAGGAAAATGCGCAGCAGGTCTTCCCCCTTGTCTTCTCCGATTTGCTGGATCAAGTTCATGGCCTCCTCCCTTTCCTTTCGAAGCTTCAGTACGGACATGCCTCGTGCTAAAGCCTCTACCACGGGGCCATCCAAAGCCTTGCCGCTCAATGTCAGCGCTCGACTTCCAAATGTCAGCACGTCTCGTGCCCCCATCTTCTTGCAGCACATTGGTCGAAGCTGTGAGTTCCGAGGTCACAAATTTTCGCCCACTGTTGCGCTGCGTAGGCCTTCCAGAAGATTTGATGTTCTGGTCCGAATCGATATTGATGCCCTTCAGGATCATCAGCAGGCTGCACGGCCAACAGCACTTGGTACACCTTGCAAAGAAGAGGCTTAACACACAACGGTTGCCAACCAGCCCATTCCATACTTTGAGAAAGAAGCGCAGCCGCTTCATCCACATCTTGACTTGGCCTTCCATGCCCAATGGCCGTAAAGGCCATACGCAGAGAATTCTTGAAGAGTTTTTCACCAACTTCAGAAAGTGGCTGTTCTCGCTTATTTGCGTTTCGATGTGGTTCAGGACTTTGGGCCTCCGTCTCTTCGTACGCCTCGCGCATGCGAAAGTGGTCATCCAGGAGGGAAATCGGCCTGAGTCCTTTGTTGGGCCCGGACGCTCTATGTTCTCTCCGTTCTCCCTCTCCCTTTACATTTGGAGAAGTTCGTAGGCCTTCTCTTCCCCGATGCCTTGGATCAAGCTCATCGCCTTCAACGATTCCAACTCCAATACGGCCATCCCTCTTGCTAAAGCCTCTACCACCGGGCCATCCAAAGCCTCGCTGCTCAATGTCAGTTCTCGAATTCCAAATGTCACCACGTTTCGCTAGCTACCTACCCCCGACTTCTTGCAGCACATTGGTTGGGCTGTGAGCCCAGCAATTCACAAACCTTATCCCGTTTTGTAGCGCTGATAGCCGTCCACAGGATCTGGTGTTCTGCTCCAAATGGACAATAGTCCTGCCTCACTGTGTTTCTTTCCGCCTCGCCAGCTTTTCCGCACATCTGCAAGGCTGGGTTCCTTCATGGTGCGGAGACTTTGTGTGATGCTTTGAATGTTCCAATCAACTTCTGAGCAGGGTCTCCAATGTATATAGTGGAAACCACTCGAATCTTTCTTGGAATTTCTGAAACTGTAGGTCTTTGTTGAAAGACGGATGGCCTTGCTTCTTGGCAAGAAATGCTCAAGGAAAGGTATCATTGAAGTGGCTCTCATATACATGGTGACCCTCATGGGAACTGCCATACTCCGCAAAATCCACGCTGGGAGTTCTCAAGATTCCTCGCCCTCATTGATGATGCAAGGGCGTCCTTTGAAAACATTGCGCCGCATGAATTCGTCACCGCGCCACCAACAGTCACCCAAACCTTGGCTAACCCTCCAGGATGTTGGGCTGCTGGCCAAAGCAAGTCAAAGAATATCGCCGCCATTTGCGGCACAATAACCATCTCCCCGTGTCGGCAACATTGCCCTAAGGTCAGACGCATAGGTATTTGGCTGCGCGACGCAGCGTTCCCATCCAGCCAATACTAGTATCCCACACGGGGTAATGAGCATTCAGCACTACGTCCCAACAGCCGTCAACCAGACTGGGCCCAAAGCCAACGCGCAATTGCCACAGATCTGCACAATAGAGCCACGGCTTCCTCCACAGCTTCTGGACTGTCTTCAACATGCCCAATGGCACGCACACTCATTCGGATGCAATTTCTATAGTTGGCGTCGCCAAGTTCTTTGAAACATGCTGCGCTGCTTTGCGTCGGCACATGCTTGTAGACTTCTTCCCAATCACGCTTGTTCCAAGATGCTCAAGCAACTTGATACTCGGCCCCATAGCTCTCCAGAATGTTTTCTTCTGGCCCTATGTCAGGCAAAATCAGGGAAGCACCGCTGCCCATGGCTGTAGACTTTGTGCTGCTTGCAGCTGCTTGCAGCTGAAGGTTGCGGCTTGAAAATTATGCTTCAATATTTTGAGGGATGTGGGACGTCAATCAAATGGAGTCTCTGGCCTATGCCCCAAGCCTTGGGCTACCCGATTTGCAAATATTCACAGCAGCCGTGGTATTTGCTCTTGGCCCTGCGATAGAAGCAAGGCAAGTCTGCATATTGGGAAGGTCCTCAGCGAGGGTACTGACCTGTTCTTGCTGGAAAAGGAGAGCTTCCTGGGCAGCACTCTCGGCCACATGAAACTCTTGACGTGACTTGACACGCGCATCGCTGTGAAGGCGCCGACGGAGCTGAGGTTTCGCAGCACCACAGCTGGGGTGCCTGCCTCGGCTGCACTCGACATGGGCAAGATGGGCATGGGCTATGTCAACAAATGCCTCGCGGAAGACGATGAAGGTTGTAGCCTCCACATTGCGCACCTGGCCATTCAGGCGCTCACGCTTCAGAGCCCAACGCAAACCTGCCTCCACCCGAAAGTTCACAAACTTGCTGTCGCCGCAAGCGTCCCAGCACTGGAAGGAGTACTCTCCCACACTGCCTCCGACTGACCAAATTTTGGTGATTTTGCACAGCTAGATGTCTTCTGATATGAGCGGCAGCTACCTACCGAGGCCCCGCGTAACCGCCCCATGGTGGATTTGTTGTTGGGGGGGAGGGGCAAAATCGGTGAGATACCCTTTCACCATGAATGAGAGGTCGTCTGCAACACACCCTGAAAACCACACCTTGCCTTCAAGTGAGCTAGCTAAAGCAGCACTGAAAAACCTCTGTAGGGGGTGAAAAGGGCTCGTGACACGCGTTGCCTAGAGGCCGCACACGCGAATTGCCCAAGAGTGTTGCAAGCAGAAGGAAATGCTGCTGGTGGGCTAGGATATTATCATTTACTCATGCTCATGCGCGTCAAATGTCCGTCTTCGCAGGCTCCTCTTCTCAGGTGCAGCATGCAAAAACCATGTTTAGCATCTCAATCGAGCTAGGAAAAAAGAAGCAGCATCCCGCAGCGGTGGCAATCAAACCTTTCGCCTTAAAAATTGCATTGCATAACTGTCCAGAAACAATATTGGTTGCATCTCTCAGCTCTCTCAGCTCTCTCAGCTCTCTCAGCTCTCTCAGAGCCTTGGGCTCAAGTCTGGGTCTCAATGGATTTTGCATGGGGCACTCTTTAAGCAGCCGAAGGGGCACTGGAGCCTGAAAGCCGCTCCAAACGTGTTGACCGCTTCAGTTCTAACGCGTCTTGTTTCTAATTTGCGGTATTATAGACGTTGGCAGGCAACGGAACCATTCTGATTGCAAACACATGTGTTGGAAAACAAGGTCAGGGACTGCAACAGGGTGGAAGGCTGGAGAACGGACACCCAAGGCACTTCCCAAAACTGCAAGGCAGGTCCTTGTACGCATCTGCCAAAAGGTAGGCGTTCGGAATAACTTGTCTGTCCGGAATTTCATGTTATGCCCATATCTTTGGGGTGAGGATACGTGTTATGATTGCTCTTGACATCGTTCTTGCTTCTCAGGCCTACCGGCAGCCGTCCAGACCAGTGTGAGGCGCCGAGGCGGGCTTGCAGCAAATCCTGCCATGGCTTCCCCATGCCATCAATTCGGCAATCATGTACAGACTACAGATTCCCGGCACAGTATGAATTTGCCAAGCAAAAGCGCACCGTGCCGCTGTGCCAATGCACCGCTGCACGGCCACCGGAAGCCAGTGAAAGCTCCTCGAGAAAGCCCAAATTCAACCAAGTGTGTTTGCGGTACGCATGCGTCGGTGGGCTTCAGAATCCCAGAAATCCGTATTCTGTGTGCAGATGTGCCCCTAGCTCTCTGTGCGCTGTGTTTCTGATGTGCTCAGTCTACCGAGTCTACCTCACCTGGGCTCCCACACGGGAACTTCAGACCTGGCCGTGACGTCTGTGAAGTGAATCAAAGTCGAATTTTGCCTTCCCACGCGCGCAGGCCGAAGCACAAGATGTCGGCTAGTTGCGTTCACCGCCACCTGCAAGCAAACTCGAGCCAACGAGTCAAACTTTGGGAAGCTTGCGACTTGACGGCCAAGGCCAAGCAAACAGCCGAACAGTCGAACAGCATGGTGTCCAGGCCTGTTGCGGAGCTACATGTAGCACTCTCACCTCCAAACCCGCTTCCATCCGTTCTGTAAAGCGAACACCTGGCAATAGCTGCGAATGCGCAGGCTATACACATGCAGCGCCCTTTATTAAGTTACATTCAAGGCTAGGTGATTAGATGGGACGAGCCAAGGCAAACACCCACCTTGAAACATTCAAGGAGAGGTTAAGCAAAGGCAGCATCTTGAAGATTCCAAGAACTCACCCTGCAGATCTATTACAAGTGCCTAGCAGGGTTGCTTGACCTACTAGAAGCATTTCGCTGCACCGCCCTCCCAGCCTAGCGACAAGCTGTCTGGTCCCATGTCGGCTCTTCGCTGCTGCCCCTGGTCAAGCTGCTTAGCAAAAGGGTACTACTGTGAATTCCGTGTGGGGAACTGACAGACGGCCACTAATAGTCAGTTGATTTGGGGAGGCTACTTGGCTAATGGTTGTCACAACGACAGTGAGAAGCAAGTACGGCTTATGCAAATAGACAACCCACGTTATTTGTCCAGGCTGCTGACGCTGTGACCGTTTGGTTTCTCAGTCTTGGCCCCCGGGTGTAAGCCCACGGGCCACTATGGCCAAGTGGGTGGCTCGTCTTCCGCTTGTCTGCAAGCCTCCTTTGGCTCGCGGGTGAGAGCTTTCACCTGCACTTGGCCGCTGCCCAGCGCACGCAGTGAGACCGCCTGAGCACCGCGAAATGCTGGAATATCCAAATCATTGTGCGGCTCCTAAAGCTGTATACCTGCAGCTCAATTCAGAATGGCTAGAACTACCAGCAATGCGAAACGGCCATCATGTCCCTCCGCGGTCTCAAAGCCACCAGAAACATGAGCAATGCCGTCACAGCACCAGCCTCGGACACGCCATCACGAAGCCTGCACACAGTGTGGCAGTGCAAAGAGCGGCTTTGCAAACGCCGTCATGTCTCATACCAAGCAAAATGTAGAGCTGCGCTTGAAATGCATTAATGGCAACATGTATTGTTTCTCATTGCTTGCTGTTTGAAGTGCTGAGCAGCATCAAAAAGCGCCTGAAGGCCACATGAGTGGCTCTGCAATCCAGTGGCAGAAGACGAGGATGCGGGAGTCCTAGGAGCAAGGTTTATCCAAGCTAAACATGCAAAACTGCTGCATGAACCCATGAACCCATGAACCCATGAACACGTGAACACGTGAACAAACTATGCATTTTCGGGGCCCTCGGGGCTCGGAGCCCTCTCGGCGTCCACGCTTCGGGTCTCATGGGGCAGTGCCACGTTCTGGTACCCGCCGCCCCACTTCTGCGCCTCAGGTTGGCTGCCCGGCCTGCTTTTCAGCCCGGCACTGCGAGTGCGCGCCTCACGCGTCTGGTAAGCAAACTGCAAATGCTCTGAGTGGATGTGATCCTGAGGATGGCGGGGAGATCATTCGAGGAATCAACCACAGCATGCAAAAGAAACCGCAAAAGAAATCCCAGAGCTGCCGAGATGCTGCGATCCATGTCGGGCTGTGAACGACCACCGTCAGGTGTTTGCCGAGCTTTGACCTCAACCAAACATCAATCTATTGATGGGCATGCTTGCAAACTGTGCAGGTACAGCTGGATTTGCACAACCATGAAGAGCAGCTGGCTTTCAGATCCCGCTGCGTTGCCCCATCCCTCTGCGTTGCCCCAAGTGCGCAAGCCAACCTAGCCCTGACAGTAAGCTCCACACCAGGAGACTACAAGCCTCAGCAGAGCTGTTCTCCATTTCAAAATAAACAAGCACGGTAAACACCTTCGAACAATGTTCCATTCAGCGTGTTCATGCTTGCCACATCTAACTAACACACACACACACAAACACAAACACGCACAAACACATGCGCACACGCACACACACACACTCGCGCGCACACGCACACACACACATACAAAAAAAGACACTTGTAGAGTGACGCTTCACTGTAATGCCACCGGCATCAAAAATGTGTCCTTGCAAACCATGACACTGGACCTCGCAAAAGCTTGAAAGAGACGCTTTGGGTCAAGAACAGGCACCTCAATGCAGCTTTCGCGAGACTCACCAAAGACAGGAGGCTGAAGGTGCGTCTGATTTTTGCTGCTGTTCACGGGCACGCCGATGGTGACCTCCAAATTACTTCCAATTCCCGAAGCTTGCAGTGCTTCGTACATGCCCCGTCCCACCTTGTCATCTTGCCGCGGCAATGTCAGAGGTGCTGACCAGAGTTGTGGGGCGTAGAGCGCCAAGCGCCTAAGCGCCATCCGCAATGTATCAGACCATTGCTGTCCAAACACTTCTCGGCTCTGCTTTTTTACGCGTCTCTTGGACCTCACGCCTGGGAGGGTCAGCGAACTTGATTTAAGTAGAGCGCAGCTGCAATTGGTCGGGCTGGCGGCTGTGTATTTGGCCTCAGACTACAAGTCTCACTTTGTGTCACCCTTCAAGATCCCTAACACTACGCCTGATCCTGTCTGTGGGCTGGACAGCTCCCACCGGCAGCCAATTC